TGTAATGGATTTTTTAAAGAAACACCAATTATTATTGTTTTAAATAAGACTGATATATTTAAAAAGAAACTTGAAGTTCATGGTATTGAACAATGTTTTAAAGATTACAATGGTTCACAAGATTATGATGAAAGTGTTCAATTTATTAGAAACAAATTTTTATCTTTAAACAAATTTGATGAACAAAGAATTTGGATACACGAATGTTGTGCCACTTCAACTGATGATGTTAGAAAAGTTTTTGAACAAATTAAACATCAAGTTGCTCAATGGAAGAGGAATCATTAAAAAAAATAAATTTATTATTATTAAGATCAATGTTGAACCTTTTTATTCATGGTTTTAGAATTAAATGATGTGATGAAGAGTGAGGTGTAATAATTGATTTTTGAACAAGACAATAGTCTGGAAGTGCAAATTTTGTTTTGCTGGAGAAATGGATTGGAAAATGTTTAATTTTCAATGATAAGAAGATTCATTTATCGATATGATTCTTATTGTACTGTACAAATAGACTTGTTTTTTGATTCTATAATTCAATCACAAGTATTGCATTCAATGGTTCCATACAGAAACTCCATAATTGAAACAAAACAAGAAATAACACGACAAATACTTGGTCCATTATTTGGATTCACAACTCTCTTTAAGAATTGTACTTTTACCAGAAGAATTGTACTTTTACTTTCAGATTTTCCAGATATTGTACCGCTGAGATCTCAGCCAAGACCTAAAACAGAAACTCCACCAACTTGAAGAAAAGCCATAGAACCCAACAACTTACCACCAAGCACAGAAGAAGATATTACTCATTTAATAATGCAGATGTGGTGTATCAGGTAACAAAAGAAGTATAAATGCTATTGGCATGACAAGTATTGGCTTTGCTTTGTTGGAGCCAATTAATGTTGGCCCGTGCAACTAGTAGTAGTTCGTACGTTTTTAATTTGCTATTTATGTATTTATAATAAATATTTCACACATACATGCTGTGATAATACTTTTCATTTAGTCTAAGAGGAGACTGCTTGGCGGATTTTTAACCTAGCAGCCTTGGTATTTATTGTTAACTAAAACACAATGAATCTCCAGAACACAGTTTTACACTACAATATTAATACAGATATTCTTTCCCACTCATCCACCATCAACTTCCAGATTCTGCACACCACAAGCAATATTTGTGATGCACACAGCTCCAAAATTGTTACGATTTAAACCAATTTGCGGATGTCAACAGTAA